CACACAATTCACTGCAATGTGGATGGAACTGGAATATATCATGTGAAGTGAAATAAGTCAGAAGGACAAACACAAGGATGATCTCACTCACTGCAGTGTACAGAATATCTAGGCAAGCCAGTGCCAGGTGTGAAAAAAGGAATTGTCTGTATTATCCACGAACCCAGAGTTTATGGAGGAGAATGATAGAGAAGGAGCGAAATTTAAGGAGGAAATAAAAAGTGGAAGGGAACTAGTGGGGAGCAATGCTCGGAGCCCTGGATACGTCTGTAGCAGAAGTGGTTTGGCTACATGTACAATCTGCAAAAGCAGCAACACTGGAAACATGTGGTCCAAACTACAACTGTCGCACTGTCACACTGTCCTCCCGTTGTTCATGGTTTTGCTCGAGCGGGCCCAGTAATGTCTCCATTGTGAGACTTGTTGTTACTGTGTTTAGCATATCGAATACGTCATGGGGAGCTTGCCAGGCTTTGCCGTGCAGGTGAGATACTCTCGGTAGCTTTCTGAGCTCTTCAAGAGGGGTGGAGGAATCAAACCTCGGTGAATCAAACTACAACAAATGTGACTGTCAGGGTGGCAGGCTGGCGGGGAGGGAAACTGGAGACACTGGTGGAGAAAAGCTGATACTGGTAAGGGGACCAGTGCTGGAAACTATGCCGAAAACTCAACTAGGAATGACTTTATGAATCCTGGTGCTTTCGTAAATATTTTTACATAATAATTTTTAAAGTTTTACAATCGTTTAAAAGAAATAAATTAAAAATTGAATATGCATCAATTTTTATTTCTATTTAACCTCAATGGAATATTAATATAATTGGGGTTAGAGAGCTCACTCTAAGGACTGAGATACACACCCTGCATGGGCTGCTGTCCTGCGCTTGATCTTGGTCCCCCAAACACTGTTCTGGGTCCTAAGACCACTACTTGGCCAGAGCCAAAGCTTCAGGCCCACACTCCAAAACTCTGTCCCTATCTCACACAGGACTAACCCCCTGGGGAGGACGTGCCTCGAATTTTAATCTCATAACCTAAAGAAATTGAGTCCAATATGCACACCATTATTCACTGCTTCATTCAGTACAATATATAAGATACGGAATCAACCTAGTTGTCCGACAACAAATTAATGGATTAATGTTATATAGACATAATGGAATGCTACGTAGCTGCAAGGAATGATGAAAATCATGCAGTTTTCTGCAACCTGGTTGGAACTGGAAGATATCAGGTTGAGTGAAGTAAGTCAGAAGAAGAAAAAGACAAATACAGCATGATTCCAATTATCCAGAACATAAGACTACCGGATGAGAAAATTTACTGTAGGGAAAAGGGGAAGCCGAGATCTCCCTTGACCCCAGGGTTTAGAGAGGAGACAGACGGAGAAGAAAAAAAAATCAAGGGGGGAATAAAAGAAAAAGAAGTAATGTGTGAGCAGGCACCAGGGCTTCAGTTATCTGGGTGATATGGGTGACGGGTAGAGCCAAATACCCAAAACACAGACCCAACAGAACTGAAAACATGAGACCTAAGTGGCAACCACTGGAACACTGCCATGTGCCTGTCAAGGTGACAGAAGGGGGTGAGGCTGGTTTGGGGTGGGGAGGAAATCAGGGAACATGGGTGGAGGGAAGTTGACACTGGTGAAGGAATCGGTGTTGAATTATTGTATGCCTAAAACTCAACTATCAGTAACTTTGTAAATCATGGCTCTTTAGCAAAAATAAAATGAAATAAATTGGGGTCCAAAATAAAAAACTAAAATGCATCTAATATAAAATTATTCAGATTCTTGTTTAAACGTAATGGAACATTTTACACTTGCAATGGAAATTATGATATGACCTTTTTGCTCCGAGATACTACTGCTGTATTTTTGTCAAATATTTTATAGTTTTAAAATAATTGCTAATATATAAGACATATTTGGGGAGGGTAGTGGGGGCTAGAGAGAGAGCACAGTGGGTAAGGCTCTTGCCTTGCACATGGCCAATCTACACTCTATCCCCAGTCTTCCTGACCCCTGACAGGAGTTATCCATCAGCACAGAGGCAGGAGTAAGACATAAGCACCACCGGATGTGGCCACCCCCAAAAAAGAAACAAATTTTCGGGCCAAAGATCAGGTGAGGCACTTGCCTTGCTCATGACTGGGTTTGGATCCCCAGCACCACATAAGGTTTCCTGAGCATCACCAAGAGGGAACTCAAAGCTCAGAGACAGGAGTGAATCCTGAAAACTGCCAAGTGTGGTCCAATGCTCCCCAGTAACCCCAATACATATTACTAAATAAATCACTATCACTATCACTGTCACCCTATTGTTCATCGATTTGCTCGAGCGGGCACCAGTAACATCTCCATTTGTCCCTGTCACGTGCTAGTGTAGCCCGATGGGATATTGGGGGCTTTTTCAGGGTCTGGGGAATGAGGAGCACCACTGTTACTGTTTTTGGCATATCAAGTATGCCATGAGTAGCTTGCCAGGCTCTGCTGTGTGGGCGGGATACTATTGGTAGCTTTCTGGGCTCTCTGAGAGGGATGGAGGCTTTTGAGGCAGTCTCGAATCACCTTTGCAGGTGTTCCCAGTCAGGCATATATGCAGGCAGGTTATACTCAGTAGCCTGCTGGTTTCTCTGAGAGTGAGAACTAGAGGATAAGAGGTCGCTTATAAACATATTTTATACATAATTTCAAAGACAGCATGGTTTTATTGTTTGTTTGTTTAATCACTTAACTTTATAGGGTTTTAGATAACAGAAGGATGACTCATTTCTCTGACACACTTTGTTTTCACTCTTCTTTGCTTGAGTAGACCCAAGACTCTATCCACTGTTACTTTTTCTTTTGATTATCAGACTTAACAATGTCTACTCATTCAGTCCAGCTGCAGATGAATTCTTCCCATTTTTGTGTGCCCTAAAATGCCTGCAAGTCACCTTATTTCTGAAAGACACATCCACTGGGCATAAATTTCTCCATTTACAGCTTGCTTACTTTGCAAAGAGACATGAAGGATAAACCTTCTCTTTTAGCTCACACCAGATGTTCATGAAAGTCACTGAAAACTCTTAGGAGTAAGAATTCTCTATACAGCTAAAGGAGTGATTATCCTTTTGACCTCATGGATTGTTCCAGGAAAATCTCAGCACCAATGTGAAGAAAGATAAAGCCAGATTTCAAACATCCAATAAATGATACCCAGTAAATACGCTTATTATAAGAAGTAAGATTAAATGAGAGAAGGCGCTTCACGTGAGCCAGTGTAAGTTCACATTGACAATAAGGATCACGCAAAGACTGAATTCATCTTTGGTTGGGCCTAGAAGTCAGAACACCAGCCCCTAACCTTCAGAGCACATATGCTTAGGAGAAGGAAGGGGAGAGAGGTGCTAGATGAGAACATGTAGCCCCTCCACCCTTTCAAAGCTTTTGGTGACATACAAAACCCATCCTAGGACCAGTGTAGAAATAGCAGTTAAAATGGAGTGTAACCATTTAATTGATTTCACAGAAAATCAAGGACAGAAATAGCAGATTAACACACGTAAAAAGGTGCTTGAAGTCCGGGGTTGTTCTATGTAATGCTTTGTAGATTAGGAATCCGTGTGTAACACATCATTATTTGCATGTTCGTCCTGCCAAGAAAGAGGCCTTCATGCCATGGCCCCGCTTGTCACCCCTCACGCCCTTCTCCACGTTAAAAGTGCTTTATTTTAATTATTTGCGGTATCCATTTTGCCTATCTCTTGATTAAAGCAAATTTTTTTCCTTCCTCTCTTAAGTATAATTTGGTGCAGATCTTGAAACTCACAAGCATGTCATGGAGATCAAAATATAGCTAGGAAAATGACTAGCTGGCAGAATGAGTCAGCCTACTGTTTGATTGCCGACATCAAAGAGCTCACGGGCAGGGCTTCAGAAGCGCTCCAGCTCATGCTCCTGTTGTGATATCTTCAAGTGGCACTTTCTCACTTGCTGCCAGAATGATTTCAAAGCCCCTCCCCCAGCTGCCTCCTGTGGAAGACAGCACTCAAAGTCATCTCCTCTGCCCTGCCTTTCCATGATGTCAGTCTACCTAGTGCTTGAAAGTCGGGAATTGAAAAATACAAGCATATACGACCCCGTTTGCTAACAAGGTCTGGCTGTGACTTGGTTTATTCGGAGCTCTGTGAAACTGTATAGAATGACACACTGTGTCTCATTTTGGACGTCTGTGAATCTCCACTGGCCATGTTCCAAGGTTAATGGGTAGCAATTAAAAAAATTGTAGAGTCTGGGGCCAGAGGGATAGGACAGTAGATAGGTGCTTGCCATACATGCAGCTGACCCGAGTTCAATCCCCAGCATTCCCGATGGGTCCTTGAGCCACACCAGGAGTCATCCCTGAGCTATAGGAACAGGAGGAAGCTCTGGACAAGTTATAGAGTCTGGTGTTACAAAGAACATAACCACATCCGGATTATTATTTTTTTATGAAACATTCTAGCTACAAGCAACATAGACAAAACTGTTAAAAGAGCCTTTTACATTTCCCAAGAAAAATAAGACCATGAGACAGGCTGTACTGCCTTTGGTTTCTTCTGTCTGACTCAGCATCTGCTCTGACACAGTGGGTGGCTTCATTTCTGGTCAAGCCCTCTCCCTCCCTCTCTCCCTCTCTCTCCTCCACCCCTCATGCTGCCCATCTCTAGGATGGGGTGCAAGGTGGGAAGTAGACATGCTGGGCTTGACACACTGACAGTTTAAGTCCTACTAGCAGTTCTTCAGAGACAATACATTTGCAGATGTGTTGAGACTAAACCCACATGAAATTACCCAGTTTCTACTTCCAGCAAAACTGGGCCCTCTGGAGCTTCCCATTCTGGAAAAATCCACTAACAGGGTTTACTGGCTCTTGTGGGATGTAATTTCTACCTCCGTCGCTGCCCTCCACACCACCATGCCCCACCACCCACAGGCAAGCATAGAGAACTTGACACCCCGAAAGTGTACTTACCAGCCTTGATGTGGACATCCTGACTTCTAATTTTCCCTGAAGGATTTTCAGCTGTGCAATAATAAGTATTATCATGGATTAAGGTACTAAAGCTTGAAGGAGGGAAGGGGAAAATCTGGAGAGTGCCGTTGGGGTGGACGTGGCGGATCGCGGGGACATCGTAGATCTCCTCGCCCGTGGCTAGGTACCATCGGAGAGACACAGGAGGGATCCCAGCGGCGGGGCAGGGCACCAGGGTCCCCGTGGTGCTGGCAAAGACTACCTCTTGCAGAGATGCATTGACAAAGTAGAGGCTGGAGTGAAGGTCCTCAGGGAAAACTGTAAGAGAGCAACACAAGAATCGATCAGTTCAGTGCTGTGTGGTATGGAGGTGACTCAGACATAACCAAGGAGCTCAACTAGGACCGACTCATTCAGAATCACCCTGTAGATGGGGAAGGGAGGCAGGCATGTGAGTTCTGGAAACAAGCTCCCACCCTCAAGTCCTATCCAGGGCCGGATGAGCACAGCCTCCCTGGCTCTTGAATTTGGACAGTCTCTACTACTGAACCACAGTAGACTTGGTGTTCAGTGGTTGTCTTCACTCTCTACCTGGACCATCAGCCCAAAGAAGCCTGTCCTAGTGGACCCTGGATCATCAGCCCAAAAGAAGCCTGTCCTAGTGGCCTGCCCCATTCCTTAGAGCAGCATTTCTCAAACTTTGTCCAACCACCACCTAGTCTGCTACCTTGGTCCCTCCCCATTCCCGTTGTTTTCATCTCTACCACCCTCCAAGAATATCCGAGGGGCCATATGCACCCCCTTGAGAATGCACAAGAGCTCAGAGCCACACACTCTGGGCTCAGGAGGACAGGTCCGTGACTAGGATTCAAGTGCTCAGGCTGGAAGGTACAACAAACTTTATCTTTCTTAAATAAAATTAGTCTGTTTATCCAGTGACCAGCCACCACCATGCTGAGACCACTCTCCGCACACATGAAGGTACTGGCAGAGGGACAAAGCCACGCGGGTTCCGGGGCCGAGATCTCCAAGCCTACTCGAATTGGAGTCGAGCATCCTCCACCCAGATCCTCCAAATTCCAGTAGGCGGGGGTCACACCCACCATCTGGCCCCCTGGCGCCGTGTAATCCCATCAACGGCCAAGACTCAGAGACTACAAAATGCAGATCCCAGAACCGCGCGGCCACAAATGCGGCCGTGCGACATCTTATCAAAACATCTTTTTATGATATCTCATTATCTCATTCCTACTCTGGACAAACTTGCAGGCTATTGAATATAGCCTGCCCACAGGGCAGAGTCTGGCAAACTCCCCGTGGCGCACCAAATATGCCAAATACCAGTAACAATGATGGGTCTCATTCTCCTAAAGAGCCTTGAATATAATCTCAGGGCTAGGATGAGGCCTGCTCAAGGCAATCGATGAATAACAGGATGATGAATGAATGATGAATGAAAATCCAGTGACAAACAAGGCCATATGTGAGCACATAGAAAATTATGTTAGGCTTTTAGAAGACTGTGTCTGATAAACAGTGCATTTTTAAAAAATTTTTATTAGTGAGACACCATGAGGTATAGTTGTAGACTTACAAATTTTGTGCTTGGGTTTCAATTATACAATGATCAAATACCCATCCCTCCACCAGTGTCCATTTCCCAACACTATGGATCCCAGTATCCCTCCCGCCCACCCATTCCCCTCATTCCACCCTGCCTCTGTGACAGGGCATTCCCCTCTGTTCTCTCTCTCCTTTTGGGTGTTGTGGTTTGCAAAAGAGGCATTGAGTGGCAATCATGTTTGGTCTGTAGTCTACTTTCAGCATGCTTCTCCCGTCCTGGGACAACAGTGCATTTTTTCACTAGACTGTGTGCAGCTGTCATCAAGAGAACTTGGACAAAGACAGCATCCCACCAAGTGATGATGGTTTCTCTTTCAATTACTTCTGTTTTCTCTTCTGGACCCTCTGCCTACATACCTTCTCCCACACAATAATGCTGTCTCAATGGACAGGGAGGAATGTGCAATTTTGTAGACTGTTGCATTCTTTTAACACTATTTCTTATACAAACTCCAGGATTCCATGAAGGCTTTACAAGTAAATATTAGCAGATGCATATTTTATAACGTATGATTCTCTAAGCTTTTTTTCCATCTTGGTTAATTGTTTCTGCTTTCCCTGCTTAGAAAAAAATCTGCAAGTCTGTTTGCTTTTTGTAATGTCCTTGAGTATCTGTGCCCTAGTCACTAACAGAGAGCTCTGGATTGTCATTTTTGTGAGCAAATAAAGTTTATCTTCCAAAATTCAACACTCAAGCCCAAGTTCTACAAGTGCCTGACTCTCAAGACACTTGGAATTTTATATGACTTCTGCTGGCTTATAGTTCCAAACGTTTTAGGTTTAACCTTGGGTTGTCCTTTCTCCTCCCGCAGGGAGTGTAGGCTCATTGAATTACAACCACCACAATGCTCCCAAGCACACCCTATTTCACCAGGCACTTCCAATCCTCCAAGCTTCTGTGTTTATCTTTAGCCTCTCCTTTGTGCTCTTTTTTCCTAATCCTAATCTGTTAGTCAAAAATATCTCCAAATCAGACACAGTAACGTAAAAAGTCAAACCTTCTGATGGCTCTGGATTTTGTATAAGTAAGTGAAATATTGCTTTTTCTCTTTCCTTTATGTCCTTCGCATCGTTTACTTCATAGCAATGTCCTTTTAGTATAGAAACAGGAAGACAGTCAATAATGTGCTCCTGTAATATGGGAGTTAATTGATTCTGAATATTTACTCCTGGGAATTCTTCATATTTACATGACTTAAACCTCAGTTGACTTTACGTGGACCTTTGTTCCCTACACTCCCTCAAAAATGGGTCCTGCTGAGGGACTCGAATTGACCCAGGACAAGCTATAAACTAATATGGCTTCAACATGGAATAATCTAAGTGCCATAAGAAGAATAATAAGAACATGGTCATGGAACAAACTCTGTCATGACCCCCCCCCCCCAAAAAGTAACTGTATAAGTACTCTGATGGGGTTAGAAAAAACTAACCTTGCCTGAAGCCTGTAGTCTGGGAAATATAGCGAGATGTACCCAGAGAGAGCCATCCTTTACTATGAGTTCTGAGACCAATTAAGTTTAACCTAGAGTATAGATAAAAATCTGTATATCTTCCAGTGTTTATACAAGATGACTAGAAATATCATTAAGAATTAAATTTAATATGATTGTCTTAATGGATTACCAGCAAAGGAAAGGTGAAAGCAATATGCCCTTGGATGGAATTCTGCCCTGGGCGGATCTCCTAGCAGGAATCTAGAGTGCTTGAGCCCCTAGATGGAATTCTGTCCTTGGATGGATCTCCTAGAAAAATTTCCCCTGAAGGAGGGACTTTACAGATGTTCATTGTTTATGATAATATTCAGCCACACCTATGTGTAATTACTGCCCCCCCAACCCCTCCTGATTTCCCTATAATAATCCTGATGGATTTAAATATGGGTCACTGGTTACCAGCCTGTGGACCCATTCCTTTGCCCATCAATCAGGGGGATGGTCATCAGCTCCCAATGCACCAGGGGGCACCACTGTGTGCACCCCTCACCCCCGTAACCATGAAAACAGTGTGACTCAAACAACTGGTGCCAAAACAGGGACGACTCAGACAGGATAGTAACTCAAAGGCTGGACTTCCTACGGCCAGAACAAGGGCAACTCAGACCAATGGTGCCTGACCAGGGACATCGCAGAATCTGACGACTTCCTCAAATCAAATGCACATACAGCCACGTGTCCTCAAGAGAGAAGATGCACTCCAGCAGAGTCACCCTCCCAGCCGAGGAGGTCATCACTGACTGCATGTTCCTATGAGGTCGCATTCCATTTACTTTGGCAAACACAAGCTCTGCGGGTGACTCTACTCTGCAGTGATGTGGGGATGTGCACGAGATGCCACCAAACCAGGAGACAGGGCTAGGAGTTCTCAGAACCGAACCTGAATCTGATAAAGACTGTTGAGATTTGTCCTCCCTCACTTCAGACTCGCATGGGGCAGAATCTTCTTCATTCATAAAGTTTCAGAGGTGGGTCCTATCTGGTTTTTCCTGCTCTAGCCTTGCTCGGTGGTGGAAACTCTGGGGTTCTAGGTCTTCGAATATGGTGATGGGGTGCTACTAAGTCAACTGGTGCAATAAAAATAGTAAAAATTGACAGGGCTACAATTGACATGGTTGGTGGGTCCACTGACATGATTTAGTAGGATAAGAAGGACCCACCACTCTTTACAAAGATAACTGGGAGCATTTGTTGTTTTTTCCATTTTTCAATTTTATTTTTGGGTCACACCCAGTGATGCACAGGGGTTACTCCTGGCTCTGCACTCAGGAATTTCCCCTGGCGGTGCTCAGGGGACCATATGGGATGCTGGGAATTGAACCCGGGTGGACCGTGTGCAAGGCAAATGCCCTACCCACTGTGCATTTGGAGTGACAAGTTTTAGACCACTCAGCAAGTGTAAGGGTGGGCTCTAACACCTGCCCCCCCATTTTCACTCCTCACACTGGGGACACAGCTCTGAGCACTGGATTACAGCTGAACATGGAGACAGTACACCGCAAGGTCTCCAAGGGACCATTCCTGTCTGACAACTACCTTCCCCATTGCCACCTGTTCTAGATACTCTGGAAGTCTGCCCAGCTCCTTCCTTAGGGCCAGTCATCTCTGCTCCTCAGAAACCAGGAATACTCTCAGCAGAGCATGGCAGTAGGGACTGGCCCCAACCACAGGGCATTGTCATGTCCCAGGCCCATGAGCAATGACAGTCCCAGAGTAGGGACTCCTACTCTTAATTTGGATTTGCTATGAAGGTTTGAGCTCAGCAGCACTATTGCCCTGTGGGTCATCTTCTGCCTTTGCCCGTCCTACCTCCCTCACTTCCTTCCTGGAGCATCTCCCGACCAGGTTCCAAGTGCACCTTCCACATCAACTCCCACCTGCCTCTCTTCTCAGGGTTCTCAGTACAAACTGTAATCATCACAAGTTGCAAGATTTGTTTCAAATATTAAGTACAATGTTTGAAATATTTCTTGTAAATCCCTTGAATATCCTTTTTAAAAAGTTGTTTAAAAAACCAAGATGTTATAAAAACAAAATGAAAGCAGACATTAAATCTAAATAACACTAGACAGAGAGAAGACTTTGTGAGCAATAATTCTCACAATGCATAAGGTAGTGATGCAATTATCTTTCAGGCTATTATTGTCTGGGGGGTTCTACTGGATATAAATAGTGATAAATGTAATTAGCTTCACGAAT